GCTGGATGGGGCACATGGTGGTTCTTGGGTGCACGTGACATTCTGTGAGTGGGGGATCGAGGTTGTGAGTGATGCGAGAGACACACCTGGTGCTTGAGGCAATCGGCATTGACCGAGATCTGCTCGTACTTCGGGGAAACTGTTGACGTCATCAGCGGCATTGTAGATAGTAGGCTAGATTGGATCTGCCATCTGTAGTCTGGGCGCCAAGCGCCAGATAGGATATCGACATTGGTTCATTGTTGATGATGACAGTACTATTCCCACATTGTCAATTGTGAGCTTTTGCTGGACTCTTATTTGGTACAACTCGTGATGCAATTCTGCTTTTGGTTCGAGGTCACAACTATCTGGTCTCATGTGTATGATGCTGTTTGGTGTCTGGAATTCGCTATTGCTCATCTTCCTTGCAGGAACAATTAGAGAAAAGAAAAACAGGGCCTGGCGTGCACATGGAGGTAAACATAGACATGAAGATGAGAAGATAAAAAATCAAATGGAAAACATGGCTGTCCTTGGGGTTTCAGAAGAGAATACAGATATTTAAATTAAAAAAAAAACAAGAAAAAGAAAAAAACTTTTGAATCCTGCACTTTTAAACCTCTTCAGTGACTCAGTCCGCTTTTTCTTTTTTTAATTTGGACCGTTTCTCGATTTATGCGTGTCATCCTTGCGCAGGGGCCATGCTAATCTTCTCTCTCTGTATCGTTCCAATTTTAACGGATGTCCCAAAGGACTCAGTCCACTTTTTCGTTGGCTGACAAAAGGGCATATTATGATATTCGGGCAAGGTAAGGTATCTCACACACAACGAGACACAGAGTCACAAAGTCACGCTGGGCCCGGTTCCCAGCAGTGTTGCTCCTCGCGAATAGATTGGAGCATCGTCTCAAAAAAAAAAAAAAAAAAAAAAAAAGGAGTCACAAAGTCATTCAGTGACATTCTCAAGAGCAACTTTTAACCCGCTTGGCCGGATTTCAATTACGCAATATTAACATCATATAGTCCACCGCCTGACAAAAAAAAAAGAAAAAAGAACAAAAAAAAAAAAAGTCCACCGCCTGACAGTGTCCCCCATCGTTGAGACACACCCTATGCCGCAATGATGGCTGATTGACTGACTGATAGACAAACAAAGCTTTTGGTAAACAAAGCATGAGCTCAAACTTGAAACGTCAATTTGAAATCCTGATGGACGCGATGATGTAAGAGCTCTTAATCCCTCTAGGAAAATAATGAAATGATAATAATAATAGTAATAATAATAATAATGTCAATAAAAGTAGGCCTCATTTGTCCAGACTGAATGAATGCCTACGGGAACTGGTGGACCTATCAAACTCTGCAACGTTGAAGAATTATAATGGAATGCATGACATTGTCTTGCTAGATTTGCCTGCTGTGCAAAAGCGACTACCTGCAAATTGAATGCACAATCGCCCGGATGGGGAATGAATTGTGAATAACTGTTAAAGAAAGTGTGTGGGTAACCCGAGAGCAGCCAGCACAGCCGGCTGCAGTTCACATCAAATTTGATAATAAGTCTGAATAACGGATAAGATCGGATATGATCAACTCTCATATCTGAACCATCCATTCATGACGACGCAACAAGATCGGGTCTGCTTCATTAATGACGTGTGACGTATCCACTGGCAGATGACGACCCCACTTTCCGGATGACGACATGCAGCTGCTTGGCCAAATATTAACGGGGGTTCCAGATGACGACCCCACTTTCCGGATGACGACCCCACTTTCCGGATGACTACCCCACTTTTTGGGTCACTTGCATTTTCATCCCTAGCAGAGCCGCAGTTGCGTCCGTCATCCCTGGCAGAAGAACACGCCATGCAGCCAGAAGACAAGAACAGTTTCATGTGTTTGCACCCCTGCTTCAGATGCCTCCAGGTCTCATTTCATCCCACATGCGCCGGATACCATGTTTCAGATGGAATGAAACAGCCTCTCTCTCTCTCTCTCTCTCTCTCTCTCTCTCTCTCTCTCTCTCTCTCTCTCTCTCTCTCTCTCTCTCTCT